GGTGCCGCTGGACAACGGTGCATGGCCCTGAGCACGGTTGTCATGGTCGGTGAAACCAAAGAATGGCTTCCTGAGATGGCCGAGCGAGCCAAGGCCCTCAACGTCAACGGCGGTTTCGAAGAGGGTGCCGATCTCGGCCCTGTTATCAGCCCTGAGAGCAAGAAGCGCATCGAAGACTTGATTGCCAGTGCCGAACAGGAGGGTGCCACCATCCTTCTGGATGGTAGGGGCTACAAGCCTGAGAAGTATCCCAACGGCAACTTTGTAAGCTCACACTTTCCTATCATCAAACCCTTTCAGTTTCACGTCCACTAACCCATGCTCGCATAGGTCGGCCCAACTATCATCACCAACGTGACCCCCGACATGAAATGCTACAGGGAGGAAATCTTCGGCCCCGTCCTCGTCTGCCTCAACGTCCCCACGCTGGACGACGCCATTGAGCTGATCAACAAGAACGAGTATGGTAACGGAGCCGCCGTCTTTACTTGCTCCGGCTCGACCGCCTCGCGCTTCCAGAAGGACATTGAGGCCGGCCAGGTCGGCGTCAACGTCCCCATCCCCGTCCCCCTGCCCATGTTCTCCTTCACCGGCAACAAGAAGAGTATCGCCGGTGGCGGTGCTAACACCTTCTACGGCAAGCCCGGCCTGCAATTCTACACCCAGCAGAAGACCGTGACCAGCCTGTGGCGCAGCGAAGATGCTATTAGCACCAAGGCCCACGTTGTGATGCCCACGCATTCATGAACGCACATCAGATTGATTTGAAGAAACAAAAAGGGAAACTATATAGCAGGGAAAGACCAAATCGCAAAAACTAATATTCGATATACCATTTGATGACATGCACGCCTCTGCCTTGTTCCTCGCCTTTCGGGAATAAATTGATATCTCTTTCTGCATAGTTCCACAATCATAGGCCGTTGTTCTCGGTTAGCTTCCGAGTCTTATGTATCACTTGTTGCTGGACAAATGGGAAATTGTACTGAGCTTTGGCTATGAGATCATGTGTCAATGAAGTCAGATGCACGAGTATCGTTGCGTAGTATTTTGAACCACCATATACCTCAAGGTACCTCTATCCATCTATCTACCTAGTCGCTGCACACCATAAGAGGCTGCGGTGAGGCAGTGTTGAGTGGCTGAAGGGAAATCAAATGCGTCGGCTGCAAGAGGCGAAGGCCAATTTGATTTCTATCTATGCGTAGACAGCTGCGCCTATTCTTTCTTTTGTCACCTGCCTTTGATCTGCGTGCCAGGTGCCCGAGACTTAAGCAGCTTATGAAATCGGGTTGGACAAAACTCCAACCGCCGAAAACTACATGGATGCAAAGTAGGGGACTATGGACACAGTCAATTCTATAACTAACAATAGGTCAATAGGGTCGGCGGTTTTGAGCAAAGGCCGCTGCACATAACGTGACATTTCATAGCTCAAGAGTGAGCAACACAACAAGTCCTCCCGACCCTCAGATAGGGTCTACAGTCAAAAACTTATCCGTTGGTGCTATCATACATGACTTAGTAAAGAGGACAAGGTTTACGCATCGAGCCTCTTGACATAGGTATAAGCCAGACGAGCCATCTTGTACTCGCCATCCTTGGCGACAACCACGCGGCGAGTGTGGTAACGCTGTCCGTTGATTGTCTCAAAACCCCAGATCTATATGGATGTTAGTATCTGTCGCCAACTCCCGGCAAGTTGTCAAATATACGAACCTGTTCGGCGGTCCAGCCGGCTCCATCGTCCTGGTTAACGACGAAGCTCTGCAGGAAGAGACCTTCGCCTTCACCATACTCCTCACCCTCATTGTCCACGACGAAACCCTCGCACGGGCTACCGTCTATGAGGATCTCGCCCCGCAGGAACTGTTTCACTTTGGGGTCATCGACCTTGGTGCTGATATCGACGGCAGGGCGGACTTTGCCATCATCGCCCTTGGAGCCGCGGATCAGCCGCGACCGTCCCTTGAGGGTGCCAAAAATATGGTCCTTGTGCTCGCGCTCCACCCAATCGGTGTGGCGCTTCTCGCTAGTGCCCTTGAGGCCTCCTGTCAAGACCTGATCGATATCGATGTGCATGAGCTTCGCGTCTTCCGAGTCGGCATACTCCTTGACAATTAGGGTGACAGTGGCGTATGAGATAGCTTTGCGAGTGACCCAGCTAACACCTTGCTGAACGAGGATATCAGTAAGCATGGAATGACAATGAAGCGATCAGAGACAGGTCATGCAATGAAGCTCAAAAGACCAGGGAATATGGCTTTATGACATACAAACGCGAGAATAGGGTCGGAGGGGTCAGAGATGTTTTTCTCCTAGATTGAGCATCTATGGTCAGCAAGATGCGAAATAGAACTTGAGTACAACCCATACCATCGTCCACTCTCCATTGAGGTTCTTGATAGTGACGTCTGCGGGGGCGGCCATGATGGATGATGAGGGGTAGTAAATGGTAGATGATAGGATAGGGATGGGGATTCGAAGCGATTGCAGATAATCGAGAGAAGGGAAGAATGTTGCCTTTTGACACTTGGAGGAGGGAGAGGAATGGGGATTAAAATAAGGCCGTCCGGGGGAACAGTGGTCACAATGACTTTCATGTGCCTGTCTGGGCAATCTCTCCACAACTCCCCGTTCAGGTACCCTTCCCGTCTCGTTCCTCCCCCCGCTCATCACCGAGGCTGACACGTGCAAGCCTGACATCCATACTCCTCTGGACTACTGCACGACTCTGTCTTTTCTTGATAATTACTGGCGCAGACTGCACAGACTGTTGGTATGAACCTGTCGTCTCCTTGATCCAGTGACTCTGTTAGCCTCATTGCGACTACATAGTATCTCAATTACCATTTGTTGACATTTTTTAATGCGATGTGTAGAGTGCAGCAGGTTCAGCCTCTGGCTTTGATCGCTAATCATAGTCCATCTCGGATCCCATGCCCGATGCAAATATCCTGTTCTGTCTACGCCTCTCATGGTTTGGTATGACGCAGTAACCACTATCATATGAAAGCGTGGAATCAATACTCCGTACGGATAAAAGGTGGGGTGTTATTATTGATAGCACGTACCTGAAAGTTCAGGCCGTAAGGGTGGATACCCCTTTCACGTGCCAAGGCGGAGTACCAAAAGACCGAGTAAATATACACGCAAACTAGGTAATCTCAGGGTCAACAATAACATCGTCATTTATTCAAATTTGTTCAATAAGCAGATTGCCATTACAAGCTTGCGGCATGTCATTTAACAAGAAATATGCCGGTCTTCCTGATCTAGTAAGTTGTCGAGTCTCACCCCCACTCGTGTCATGGCCTTGGCCTCAATTAACAATGCGTGTCTCGTCAGGACCCAGCTCCCGATATCTATGAAACCCCAGATCTGACCGATGAGGCATCCACACTTCCCGTTAGTTTCCTGCCAATCGAAAGCAGATTCATACTTCTCTGAACTCACCATCTAACATACAAAAATCTGAAGACTGCCACGATTCGCACCGTCTCCGACGCGGATGATGACGCTGGCTCAAACTCCGACATTGACCGACATGGAGTCGATGTCGACGATGCGCGTGCTCATTTCCTGGGGGCTACTGTAGACGCCCGCGATGTCAATTTCTCCGATAGCATTGCCCTCAGACGAAAATCGTACAGAAGCAAAAGTTGTCGACGACGGAGAGGTCCTGATGGGATAGAGGAAGTGGGTGATACCAGCGACACGGAGGAGGAGAGCTTCGAGAGGAAGCTGGCCCGCCTGCGCAGGGAAGTTGAGGAATTGAAGGATGAGATGGCCTCACGACAAACAAAGGCGAAATCCACCGAGGAACCTGTCGAAGCGGTAGACGACGGTGTGCTGGAATTGAGCCGGGCGCTGGACAACCTCCATGGATCTTCTCGAAATGCGTCAGGATCGCACTCCGCTGCTGCAGCACTGTCCCAGAAGCTCGTGTCGACTTCTTCCCAAGGTGTTCCAAGCGAATCGAAGGGGACTGACGAGCCGATTGCGACAGAAGATGTAGGGAGTTCGTCGTCCGCTGGCGTTCTGGCACATGCTGCAGCCTTTGACGGCCGGCTAGCATTAATTGAAGCCGCGATGGGCATATCCAGCTCCTCCAATCCTTTTGTTTCTGACGGCATGTCTGAGCCGGCACTTCAGCCCGTCCTTCCGGCCCTGGACCACCTCACTTCCCGACTATCCACACTTACGAATATCCTCGTCGGTCCCACTCCGGCATCAGCCGTACCAACTACTGGGTCAGCTCCACCATCGACAACATTCACAACCACCCACCTCGAGGCCCTATCAAGCCGGGTACGACGACTGACCGCGGATACCGAGGCACTCGCTTCGGCGCGGAAACGTGCGGTTGACGCCGCCAAAGCCGCTCAGAACGCCCGTGTCGCGACCTCCACGATTGAGCAGACCTCCGACATGTCGGTGTCATCCGGGTCGGCCACCGAAATCGACCAAGCAGCTACTCAGCGTGACGAACAAGCCACGAAGATCCAAGCCCTCTACGCTACCCTCCCTACAATCCAGTCCCTTCATCCTATCCTACCCAGCGTGCTCGAGCGGTTACGATCCCTCCGTGCCATCCACGCGGGGGCCGCGCAGGCAGCGGATTCACTCAATGAGCTTGAGAAGAGACATGCTGAGATGACGCGGGAAATCGAGCAATGGCGTGAAGGGTTGAAGGTGGTCGAGGAGAAGATGGGGCAGAGCGAGGCAGCAATGAAGAGCAACATCGAGTTAATCGAGCCATGGGTCCGCGACTTGGAAAAGAGACTGGACCGGCTGGAAAGCCGTGAGGATTGATTTTCGCTCTATACCCGGGCCTGCTTAGAACGCTTGTAATAATGGTAGTAAGACGGCGATCTATCCTTGGTGTGACATATGCATACAGTGATATCCAATAATTTGATACTTGTGTACATTTTGGCTCTTTTGTCATGGCCTACCCAACGAGATAGAGAACAAACATACACTACCAATAACGAATATCACCTAATGCGCCGCAGGATCTTGATCTTGGGCTCCATCCTCAACTCCGCCCACCACCCGCGCGTAACATGTTTCCGAGCATAATCCCTAACCGTCGTCCAGTATCGAGCACCCTCGGGACCAAGCACGAGGCCGGAGACCCGCTCCTCCAGCTGCCCAGTAGCCTCATCACCAGGTCGCAGGACCCTCAGCCCCGCGAATCCATTGATCACCTCGACCTCCTCCCAGCTCTGAGGCCGGCCCGATGCCCTCCGGACTTTCTTCTCCTCGCTCGGCTCGATAAGCACGTAGTCGAACCGTTTCCAAAAGGGAGGGAAAGCCTTGGCGGTCTCGTCTTCTGTCTTGTCGTATCGCCAGACTGAGCCTGAACCTGAACCCGCGCTCTCGAGGGCGGCGGGCTCGCTGCTTTGCGCGGTTTCCATGGAGATCTGAGGAGGAGGCATCTCCAGGAATCTGGTGACGCCTGTCTGGCAGGCGAGGTTGCCGAGGTAGACGTTGATGACGGGTTTGGTGTTGTCAGCGCGGCTGTGGAGGACGTTGAGCGCGCGAGCGCCGGGATAGTTTGCTGATGAGGCGGGCAGGAGGACAAAGTTCGAGAGGAGGAATGAAGCGGCTGTTGAAGCTATTAGGGCGAGGGAGAGTAGACGGTAGACGTTGGATTTTGTGCGGTGCGTCCAGATGTAGGAAGCGCCCTGGGCAGCGGCGGCTGTTAATGGCGGGATTGTGTATGCGATGAAACGCCATTCCTTGTGCGGTTGGGCGCTGTATATGGCGACAAAGGCAAGTGATGGGATAATCATGTACGCTGCGGAAGAGCGGGTGGATGGGTGCGTGAGGGCGAAGGGGAGTGCGAGGAGATAGGTCAAGGGGTTCAGCAGCAGGCGCGGGATGGCGCTGCTGAAATAAAAGTGCCACGGGTGCGTTCCCCAAGCGGAGGCTTGTCCCGAGATGACATTGAACTTGAAGGCAGCGAGCTCTGGCCACAACGGGAACTGCTGCCAGAAGAACGAGTCCACCAGCACAGTGATGGCAAGTCCAACCACAAGTCCCAGAGCTCCCGCCGGGATGATCTCCTGTGCGATTCGGATACGACCCGTAGCAAAGAGAAACAGTGTATGCGCAGCCAGCAATAGGGCCAACTCGGAGCGGAAAATGATGCCAGCTATCGTCAACAGGAACAACCCCACTCGACATCTCTTCCTGTAGACATCTGAGGCTACAGGTTCTGGGAGAAGAGCCCGCATTGCCAATGTAGTGATGCCAAAGGCGAACATGTTGGAGAGAGTCCTCGAGGCATAGTAGATGATATGGAACTGGCTCGCTTGGAACAGCAGATACCAAATGGCCGTAGTCTTTCCGAACGCTCGCCGTACGCCGAGCGCGAACGAGATCAGCGACGCGGCATTGAACAGGCCTAGGATACCTCGAGCTACATGAGAATAACATCAGCTGCTAGACTCGCTAACCAAGCGCAAGCTAGGAAACGCATACCGAGAGCTTGCTTATCGATCTTCTCATTCAGCCAGATGAACGGCTGTGACAGCCCGGCCAAAACAACAGAGCCGACAAAGGTCCGAGGCACCGCTCCTGGAAACGTCGAATGATCATAATGCGCTAGGATACCAGAGACATCACCCGTGGGAATGCCATATTTCAGAATATCATGTACAGCCTGTATATGGAACGACTCCTCCACCTTGGTGTATGGAGCAACGAGCAGGTGGAGACAAACAAGGACCGGAAGCGACACGATCAATAACAGAAACACTAAACGAGAAATCAGCAATTACTGAGGTCCATATTGAGCCATAGCAATCAGATCATTCCTACCAACATTACTCCCCATTGTGCTGCGGCAAGAAGGTTTAAAGCATAAACCCCGTTCCGCAGGGCAAGTGAAGTCATTTATTGCAGCAGAGCTCCCCTTCTTCCCCACACGTCAGCGAACATCGACCGCCGAGCCAACTAAGTCATCTCCGCCTCGACCTGTATCACCACAGTCCGATTCCGACCCTCCACACCTGCCACTCACCACGCGCAAGCGTATCAAGCAGTCACAAAGATGTTCCTCTTCGGCCTAGGAAAACTCTTCTACGGTGCGTACCGTATCCCGCCCCGTATGGCCTCAGTCACTAACACCATGCAGTATGCTGTCTATTAATCAACGCCGTGGCCATCCTCTCTGAAGACCGATTCCTGGCAAGAAGTACGCTATCCTGTCTCCTTTGCTCTATCCCTCCTCCGCGCTTTATTTTCACGCGTTTGCCCACACTTCACCAATACAATACAGATACTAAGACTAACAAACTGCTGTAGTTGGCTGGGGCCGCACACAGGCAGACCCTGCCTTCGGCGCGACATACGACAGCACAAGTATCAAGGCCAAATCCGTGAATCTGATCGCTAGTGTCCGGACCGTGATGCGAAGTAAGCTCCTATCGATCATACCGTTCACTCCTGGCTATTTTGTTGCTTCGTTGGATCAGAAGTTGGGCTATATAAGGCTGAGCTAACCGTTCGATCTGGTTACAGTACCCCTAATCGTGATCAATACGACGATAATCATCTACGAGCTCATTCTTGGGTGAATGATGCCCTTGCGTAACCTTGTTTTCGCCTTATAGAAAGACTCAGAGAAATAGTCTTCTCTCGGGGGTCCTTCAAACGCATGATCGGCCTGTCTCTACACAATGGAATGGGCACAAGAAGCTAGAGCTTACCGTATAGGACGAGTGAGCCTTGAGGAATAGGATACCTCATCAGTAATTGTCCGACTACGAGATCTCGCGTTACAAACTGCATGAATGACAGATGATATGATTGATTCCCAGCAAGTTGTCCTTTAATTATCATGTCCCAGATTCATGCGACGATTGTATGTTCACGAACATCATTGGTGTTCTCAATCGTATATGCATCTGCGCACTTTAATTTTGATACATGGATCTCTTAAAACACCGCAACAGATAAATCTCGACTGTTCTATGGCAATGAAAGACCAGAAAGGTCCTGTAACAAAGTACTTGCCGGACTCAGAAGACAATATCCACCTTGTAGATCCACAACCCACATGGCCCCAGAGAACACTTTGACTTTTCGGAAGGAAGCCGTACGAATATTCTCATGACCATGAAGTAAAAGTTACCTGTACACCGTTCCCGTGTCACTTGAGGAGAAAAAAGAGTAAAAAGAATCCGCTGAACGCCTCATGTACGCCACTGTGTGACCCGGGCATGGGTATCACAACATTGACCATATGGGAAAGAAGATAGACACATAGATGCGTGAAAAGTGAAGATCATCGAAGGAAAAAGAAATAAGACAAGATCGGTCTCTTGAAATCGCAGCTATTTTGACAGCAAACTCTGTCGTAGGTGTCATCTCGCCGCAGATCATAGATACCGGTACCGAAGGGGAAAATATGATGATACATCAAGCGAATATATGTACGCTAAAGATCCGGGTATTATGTGCAAAACTATGCAAGTCCGTTGAAATGCATCAATGTCGACCTTCGAGATAATGGCCGCTATGACAGAATGCTGAACGACTTCTTTCTGAGGCTGAAACTTCTCCATTTTCCATGTCCGGTACGTTCATGTTTGGAGTCTTTGTGGCTCACTTGCTCGTCCTCTCTTATCGTAGGCTTGCCCAGGGGGGGTGAATTCGGGGACTGGTCGTGGTTTGGAGGTGATTGTTGTCGCTGTTGCTGTTGTTGCTCTGATGTCGGCCCACTTTGCGAAAGGGTTGAATGCTCGGGGATAGGTACCGGTGGTAGATCCGACGACACGCTTCGCGTCTCTTTGTCCTTGCCGAGCCTGTGGCTCAAGCTTTTGCTGCCCCGTTTCAGTCGGCTCAAACCACCACCTTGTTTCTCCTTGCCGTTTTCAGGGCTGAGGCGACGGTCTTCATCGGCCTTGGATGCTTTGCTCATTTCTAGAGCGGCTTTTAGCTCGGCTTCCTCACGGCGTTGGTTTTCCTTCATTCTTGCTCCCTGTTCCTTGCGGCGCAACTTTTCAGCCTTCTCTCTTTCCTTCTCAGCCGCCTTTCGTTCCTTTTCTTCCCGGGCCCGTTCCCTCTTGGCCAGCGCATCATTCTTTGGTGGGGTTGCAACTGTGGCGACCCTCTCGGGAATGGGAGGGACAGCGGGGATCGGAGAAAGCGGAGAAAGCGGACTGAAAGGAGTGCTCTCGGGGTCTCCATGCTCGTGGTGAGTAGAAAGCTGAGGCGCGGTAGGGGCTCGTCTGAGGCCATTTGGTCGGAGGTTATCTTCGTGAGAAGGGATCTGAGAAGCGCTGTGCACGTGAGCCAAAGGCGACTGAGGGAACCCGTTCTGCTTCAACATAGTGTCATTTGCGTCGGTAGCGGCCAGGTTCGAGTCCATATTTTCTTGTTCCTGTTCCTTCAAGACAGCCTCAAGGGTGGTCTCCTGGTAGAAAAGAACATAAGCACATGCTAGACCCGGCTTATCGCCAAAAAAGTTTTTGACATAGTTCTTGTCCACCGGCTCGACCATCTCGTCATCGAAAAGTAGCCATCCTCGATCTTCAGTCTTGATGATCGCAACATAATGTCCGTGATAGGGCCCACCACCAATATGCACCACAACCGCATACAGCTCATAGAGGCGATCGGGGTCTTCGGCATCATCGGTCGTATTGAACAGACGGAGATGATATGGATAAACCACTCTATGAAACAGTTTCTGCAGTCTCTGAAGGTCCTCTGTGTATTTGAACCGTTTCAGATGTAATGCTAGGATGCGCGGCAAGCGTTTAATTTTCATCCTCTTTTCAGCCTCTTGAAGACCACCACAGTTGTCACAGTGGAATTTATTTCGTTCACAGAGCATCTCCTCCGCGGAAAACTTCCTCAAGCAAGATGTGACCGATGAATGTTGCTCCAAATCCACGGAAAGGTCCAAAAACACTTCGTCACGCTGAGACACCTTTTCGCATGTAAGGCACTGCGTTTCTGAGGTCAAGAGACCTTCGAATAGTTCGTGGACCCAACGAGTAGTATTGGGGGTCTTCGAACCGGTACTCGACGACTGATCCACGGAGTCAGCAGTCTCTGGCGCAGGAAGGCTTTTTTCCATAAGAGGCTGTTTGGAAGCCTCGGCTTCGACGTTAGCGACAACTTCGTTGAGCAATAGGTTCAGAAATTCATGTGCATCTTGATGCATGGCCGTCCGGAACATTTCGTGGTCTCGCCTGAGGACCTCCAAGAACTGCTGCGGACGTATAATACCGATGCGGGACTGACTCCCAACGACGGATTCGAAGATGTCCTTCAAAGACGTAAAAAGTGATTCAGACATGCCGTAGCTTGCGGCGTTGTTCTGTGTTTCCAGGAGAGGGAGGGTCTGCAGTGCCATCTTCTTCTTATATTCCGGCGAATCCTTGTCCTCGGGCTTCTGCTGCGGATTCGGTGGCATGCCAGGTCGCTGAGCACTGGCAGCTTTCTGCTTCTCAGCTTGAGCTTCCGCTTCCAGCTGCGCGTTCGGGTTCGGGTAACGGAGACTCTTCGCTAACGCTGCTTCCAAACTCTCTATCGGTGTCCTCGTAGGATAGTTGATTACCGCTTCGCGAAAAGGAACCGAGTAGTAAAGACATTGTAATATCGAATTACAGTAGCTATCGAAATAAAAGCTTTAGCAGTGTTTCTTTCGATAGTCTTTCTTGTCCTTCTAGGGCGACTCGATGTTATGCGCGAGATGACTTACCATGTATTTCCATACTAAAGCAGGACGAAATGTCAGCAAATTGAACTGAGCGCACAATAGAAGGGCAATCCGGCAGTACGGTAATGATCTTACATTTTCCATGCCATAAAACTTGTCGCTTCCATCCTCCCTAATCGGGCCCATGTCCAGTAGCCTCTTTTCTAGAGGCGTCATCGGGGGAGGTTGTGGTTCTTTCTTTGCGGGGACGGCTCCGACCGAAGGCGCAGTAGATCCCTAGGTAAACAAGGTGACAAATCAGCAATTGACCAAAGCGGCGAGGGAACGAAGAAACAATGAAAATGAAGATAGAGAGAATCTTTCTGTAGCTTGGCTGACAGGTAGAAGACAAACATAGCGCCAGGCGAAAGGAAAGCCCTCCGGCCTAGAAAGCCAGACAGTAGGCACAGAAACGGGTAAAAGGACTTACCCCATTATGGCGAAAACTCCTCAGGAACGACCCCATGCTTGTCACAAAGTAGCTCTATTCGTAGTATCCGGCTTCATCGGGTGACTTCCGCGGGAAAGGAAGCTGATGCCAGCAACGCTGGACGCGTGCGGAGTTCGTCGCAGGGAACGCGCGAGGGATGAGGATGCGGTAGAGTAAGCGGGTAGTGACCGAACAAGGAACAGTCGGCGATCAAGGAAGGGCAGGAGATATGGGGATTTCCAGAGTATCTCAATCAACAGTATACGTTTCGAAAGACCGACGGAACCTCGAGAGTGAAAAAGTGTGGAAATTTGATCAGAGGAAGAGAGAGTATCGCGGCGGAACGTCGTTGGAACGGTAGCGGAAGAGAGAGAGGCGGGACTACCCCATACGTTGAGGAATACAGCGGTTGAGAGAGGCTTCCACGAAGGTTGTGAAGAGTGAAGAAAACGAATTGAGGCGACAGATTGACAGCAAGAACTCGTTAGGAAGGATATGAGTACAGAGATCAGAGAGTGGATAGGAAGATGGGAGAGGTAGAAGAGCGAGCGGGCAGGCGGTTATCTGAGAACAGAGGCTAGCAGCACGAAGACGTCGACGAAGCACTGACTGAACGTCGTTTCTCCATACAAACGGGAGTTAATAAGACCGAACCATAATTAATCTCCGGACTGCTAGACATACTAGACTGCTAGTTAGTCTACTGTTAGTTCGTTTAGTTATGACGGAGAGAGTAAAGGGCGGGTCCGAGCGAGTTTGGGGGGCGAATGAACCGTTTTGGGTCAGTGGATGTTCTCGTCGTTGGTGGGCTGGAGTCAGACGATTCTTTGGGTGTCTATCTACATGGCAGTATGATTCCTTAGAGACTGCAAATTTATAAAGCTGTGATCTTTATGTTCAAGAGTCATTAATCCAAATTTTGAATGTTCCTTTTCATAAGATATGATCAGATCAGGATATACCCAAAGAAACTGTCACCATAGAGAGAACTCTTATCAATACCTCTGGAACATAGTATGTTATCATAATACCGGTGACAGTACAGGTAGGTGCCTGTAACTAAGCGGGTTACCCGAAAGTGTAGGGTATCTTTCTGCCTTTTCTTACAGATTGGAGGTAGATAGCTACTTGTTAACTCGCCATCTGATTATTCTTCCTACCAATTCAATAATAGTTACGTGGAAAACTCGATATAGTAGTCCATAGACTCCTTCAGGATCAATCACCAAGGAACAAGGAACTCACTATTGCTGTGGAATCTCCGAGTCAGTCGACCCACTGTGTTCGAACTGCTGCCTTGGATGTCTAACTGCAGAGTACATCTTGAACTGATTGAAACAGGAGAATCGGATAAATTCAAGCCCAAGTCGACCACATTGTGTACATGAAGCGACTATATCATTCTTGAAAACCAGTCCGACCTTGAACATATCACT